AGGGTAGCAGGAAGTTCATGGCAATACTGAAGGATTATCATGAAGAATTATAATGATTAGATGAATTCCAAATGCAGGTACCTGTACAAATTTGTGACACACCAGTATCTACACATACGGACTTAGCTTTATTATGGCCAGCCACGGCTAACACTTTATCTCACAGAACCCCCAGGCAGTCACATGAAATATTCCCATGTACTAAATGGGAAGACCGACGGCTGAGAAGACAAATACTTTCCCCATTAATTAATTTACGCCATAAGTTGGGAATTCAGAGCCAGGCCGATGCAGCTCAGAGTCTCAGTTTCTCCATCTAGCCGCTGAGCTTTACTCCTGTTTGGGCTCTGTCTCTGGTCCTGGCACCGAGCTCCCAAATCTCTTGTGGTTTCCTGAGTTCTATGAGGCGCGCTTAGCTAGCCCAGCATGGGGACCGGCTGCCAGAAGGAAGAAGCCTTCATCTAAGAGCACAGACCTTTGTGGCTTTGCTCTCTCAGCCTTTGCAGAGAAGGGCAGGGTGGAGATAGAGTGAGTGACCAATCAAGCGCACAGGATGGAGAATCTGCATCCGGTGGGATTTGGGGAGCTTCTGAACCACGGGCTGCCTCTGCTGTCAGGGGGGCAGTAGCCCCACACTCAGGGTTTCCAGCACCCAGCTGCCTGTATTCTTCCTCAGACAGTGCTGATGGCTGGAGAGGGAAGTGTTCCCTAAGCTGTGAGGCTTCCTAACAAGTGGCTGAACACAAAGATGGGAGCTGTGGGACCCCAGACTTTTGTAGCCAAGTCAAACATTAGTGAGAACAACTTGTGGCTGGCACCCACAGTTTGAGAACGGTGCGGGATTGGGCCCTCACACCTGGAGGGGCTGATGCTAGGTGTGGGGTCAGAATTGAGCCAGAATGGGAGAACACCCAGATTTGTGTTCTCATATGTGTGGATGTGTGTGCGCGCACACAAATGTGTATGTAGGTGCACGTTAGGTTTTTGAGGCAGTGTCTCTCTGAACCTGGAGCTCACTGATTTGAGTGGATTGACTGGCCAGCAAGCCCCTGGCTCAGCGCTGCCTCTGCTTTCCTGGAACTGGGATTACAGAAGTGAAGTCATGCCTGGTTTTTACATGGATGCAAACGAACTGTAAGCCAAAATAAACTCTTTCAGTGTAAGCTGTTCTTGGCCACGGCATTTTACCACCACAACAGAACGGTATCCACTACAGAGGATAACTGGAAGAAATCAAATCTCTCCTTCCACTCTCGGATCAAGGAACGGAGCTCAGGTGCTCAGTCTTGGTGGTCAGCACCCTCACCCTCTGTGCCATCTCACGGGCTCCTCTATTTCTTTATACGTATGATGAGTAGATTGATTTTCATGTGTGCTGCACAGTTAAATTTTACCTTCTCTAAGCAGCCAGTTCCTGTCCTTTGCTGGCAAAACCTCTTCCCCACGACTGCAGAACTTGGGACATCAGCCTCTGTCTACATTTGTGCTTTACATATTTCCCCCTGCTTATCAGCTTTGATTTTGCTGTTTTTGTTGGTTGTTTGGTGTGGGGCCAGGGTCTCAGTGTGTAAGATGACCTTTAGCTCTTGATCTTGTCTCCCCCCTCTTTGCTCAGTTCACATTTACACAAATTGTTTTGTTCTAGTAGATTCATGATTTTGTATTTTTAGTCCTAAATAATTTTTCTTTCTAGAATTTATCTTGATGTATTGAGAGGATTTAATTTTTTCTTAAAAAATTCTGATTATTTTTACATATGTATGTATGCATGTATATATGGATGAATGAACACTGAGGGGGTTCATCATTTGATCCATGCTGGTCTTGAACTCCTGTATTCATGTGACCCTCCTACCTTATCCTTCCCTTGAAGCTTGGACTACAGGTGTGTGCCCTGTTCTTCCCAAAGGATTTTAAGTTGATATGTGGTTGGTTAGTTTGCTTTAAATCATATTCTGAATTCTTTTATTTTTTCCCAAACAATTGTGGTATCTTTATTGACTTTTTTTCTGAATGCAATGACTGTTTTTTTTTTTTTTTTAACTCTTAAGGAAAATAAACATCTTTTAGAAACAGCTCGATACACACAATCTTTGGTGTGAAGCAATATACTAATATACTAATAAGAACACTAGCTGTCTTAACATTTACAATCTTCTCATATATTATATATGTATACTTATATATACACTATATAACGAGGCCCGACCTTTTATTTTCTTGGGCTTCATTCTCTCCTGCTCCACTGGTCTCTATCCCTCCACCGTTGCCATGCCAATATTCCTCAGTGCCCCTTCGCTAATCTCCACTCAGAGCTCCTCTTTTCCAGACCATGTTCGATATTCTCCCACGTTTATTCTTCCAATCCTTTTGCTACTTACCCCCTCACTTTCTGCATCTGGTCTAAGTTCTCTGGAAGAGCCACTCCAAAACTTTCAGGGAAAAAAAGCGTGATGATTCCAATCAGGACGGTCAGACTGCCCATGAGAATGTAGGGCAGGAGTCTGTTATAGGCCCCTGTAAAGCAGTAGACACAGAGCATCAGTTAGATACGCACGTGCTCCTGGGAGTCATTTTGTCAAGGTGCAGACAGGCTGTGAGAGCAGATTTAGGCTAACCTTTTTTCAGAAGAAGGAGAGTCAGCAAAATACTACAGGCTGTTTTAGTGGGATGCCACAGCCTGCTCCTACAATTATTTATCCTCTGGGTATACATTAGCATACTGCTAGGCTCTAAGCTAACTGCATGTCCATCCGTGCATGACAGATGTTCCTTGGATAGACGTCTTCACTGTCAGAGCAAGCTTCCTTAGGTGAGGTAACTTGAGATGGGTGGTGAGAAGACTTAGCAATGTAGCTGAGGATGACTTTGAATATCTGATTCTCTTGCCCTCACCTCTGTGACTCTATCCCTGGATTAAGCAGTAATGGAAGGGGGGTCAAACCCAGGGCTTTGTGCTTCCTTAGCAGGCAAGGATTGTACTGAGCCCCATGCTAGCCCTGCTCGACTTCTCTTATGGAGCTACTGGACAGGAGGACAGGAGATCCTCATTTTGCTGCTCCTCTGTACACAGAACAGAAAAACAGTCATGCATGTAGTATCTTTTTTTTTTTATTTGGCTGATAAGGTAAACAGTACTCTTGAGTCTTCTCTCTTCTCTGTGGCCTTGCATGGCTAACAGAAATAGCATCTTTATATTAAAGGATCTTTCTTGGGCTCAGCTTCTTGTGAACCAGCGGCCCAGCACTGGATCATCTAAGTGTAGCTGAGAAGTAGAGTGAGAATTGGCACCACCCTATACAGTATGCTGTCACAGTATTGCTCGGCAGCTGTGCTCAGGACAGCTGTGCAGGGTGTGTCAAATTTAGGAAAATGTGTTTCTTTCTCTGTATGGCTTTAGAGTGTACCTTTCCTGAGAATTCATCTCTGGGGTGTGTGTGTGTATGTTTGATCTGGTAGATAACCAACACGTCAGGAAGAAAACTAAGGAAGTCTGTTTATGCCAGTCAATTCCTAATGAAGACTAGGCTCAGAACACTGAACAACATCCCACTAAAGCCTCTTTCAATATTATTTAAGACTTCTATATTTGATTATACAAAAACAAAAAATTTCTGTCTTGGGAAGGGCAGTGGTGGTGCCTGCCTTTAATCCCAGCACTCAGGAAGCTGAGGCAGGTAAATGTCTATGAGTTCGAGGCCAGCCTGATCTACAGAGAGAGTCCTAGGACAGGTTCCAAAGCTATAGAGAAACCCTTTCTTGAAAAAAAAAAACAAGCAAAAAAACCCAAAACAAAAACATAAGTAAACTCTAAATGATTACCTAGGGGAATATTTATAAAACATGTATAAAATGTGTACAGAAGACTGACTTCTTTGTACTATAAAGAACTCATACATACCACAGAGAAAATTTGAGTCTAGCCACTGGACCACTGGGGAGGACTCAGCATCCTCTGCATGCCGTTCATCCTGACACTCTGTCTGTCTGCCCAAGACTCAACTGCTGTTCATCCTGACACTCTGTGCCTGTCTGCCCAAGACTCAACTGCTGTTCATCCTGACACTCTGTCTGTCTGCCCAAGACTCAACTGCTGTTCATCCTGACACTCTGTCTGTCTGCCCCCTGCTCTCACAACCCTTCTGATGTCTGGTTCCACCAAGAATAAGGAATCCTAACTCCCGTCCACTAGTTAGAATCTCTGCTCTTTCCATCCCTTTGCCTGCTTCCTGCTAACACTGAGGGGGGTTATCCATGTAAGAATTCAGTCCTGGATGATTGTTCCATGGTAAGACCACTTGTTGCTCTTGCAGAGGGTCCAAGTTCCATTCGCAGCACCCACATGGTGGCTCATACCTTCCACGAAACCAATTCCAGGGAGATCAGACACTCTCTCTTGACCTCCCTAGACACCAGGGACAAAAGTGTTGTTTGTGTCACAAACATAAAATACAAAATTGGCTAAATTGAGAGAGAGAGAGAGAGAGAGAGAGAGAGAGAGAGAGAGAGAGAGAGAGAGAGAAGATAAAGGGAACCTAATAGAGTCATAGCAGAAGGATCCTTACTACTACATCCAAGGGGTCACTGGGAATCATCGTGAAAAGAAACTGGCGAGGGCTTTAAGATGAACTGTTCCTGCAGCCGGGCTGTGAAACTAAGCAGGCAGAGTATGTGACCAGCACAGGACACCCACCAACCCCTCCTATGAGGGATTGATCAAAGAAGGCCCTTGGTCACACACACACAACGCACATAACACCCACATGCAACATACATTAAAAAATTCAAACAAACCATGAATTTGAAGACAGAACAAGAGGAATCTCACCCAGGTAAACAAAATAGGGAGCGATGATGCTGCCCACCCGAGAGGCCATGGAGGTGATGCCCACGGCCATGTTCCTGACCAGGGTCGGGTAGAGCTCTGCCGTGAAGACGTACAGCATGGAGAAGGCAGAGGTGACCCCAAATTTCCCCAGCATCACCAGGGCGACGGACACGAAGCTATAGTCTGGAAAAGAGCTTCATTTCAGACAGGTGCTTCTAGAGCTGACACGAACTCGGTTCCCTTATGGTCTGTCTCCTTTTGCTGCGGTATGGTGATTCCTCATAAAGTACTGCTGGACAAGACTCTGTCCTCAAACATCCCCATCAGCACACGGTTGACGATGGAAGGCGAGGGGTGGCCTTGACCCGGAACTACTCTTATTCTGGATTATTAATGTATACTGAGGCCCCTGTCTACGTGTGTGTGTGTGTGTGTGTGTGTGTGTTTTGTTGTTGTTATAGCAGTTTCACGGTGAGTTGTTAGATGTTAATATAGTTAGGTTTAATCTCGAAAGAGAGGGGCCAGCCCTTCCTTTCCTGATTTTTATTATTAAGAAATCTAGTTCTAGTTGGGATCATTGGTACATGCTTTCAAAGAAATTCTTCTTTCTTTTCGTTCGTGTGGTGTACAAATGTACATGCTGTTTGCATGATTTTCTATGTGTGTAGACATGCAAGGTTATAATTACAGGTGAGCCATCATGCCTGCCCAGCAATTCATGTTCTGGCATCTGAACTCTGGTCCTTATGTACTTTAACCACTGAGCTATCCTTCCAGCTCCTGGCGCGTGCTAGTAATCCCAGCTACTGATACTTCACTGGCTAAAGCAGGAGGATCATAAATTCACAGTTATCTTAGGCTATGTAATGAGTTCAAGGCCAGGCTGTGTCACTTAGCAAGACCTTGCCTCTATATAAAAATAAACAAAGGGCTGGGGATATAGTCAGCTAGTGTAAGACCCTGGGTTTAAACCTTAGTACTGCAGGGGTTAAAAAGTTAACAGCAAAAAGAAACAGTTTTCTTTACATATTACAATATATCAATAATATATCAGCTTGTCTTTTAACAAAAGGAGAAAGTTAGATACATTAGGGAAAGGAAATACATCTTCCTTTGACTTTGGAGTTTTTGTTTAGTGTTACTGCACCACCCCCACATTTATTAGTTGTATGTCTGTGGGCAAGTGTGTGTCAGGGCATAGGTGTGGTGAAAGGAAGAGATGCTGGAGTCAGTCCTCTCCTTCCCCCATGGGGTTCCAAAGATGTGAGTTGAGTCCTTAGCGTGGGGTGGAAGGCACCTTTACCCACTGGGCCATTCTGCGTGCACTATCCTGCCGCTTCTGTTTGTGTTTTCGACAGCGTCTCATGCAGCCTGAGCTAGCCTCAAATTAGCCATGCAGCTGAGACTGGCCTTGAACTGGTCTTCCTGCCTTTGTTTCCCAAGTGCTGAGATTATAGGGATGGGCCACCATATGCTGCTGTCACCGTTGTTGGGAACATAGGAAATGTCACAGTCAGCTGTCACCCGTCTATCTGATGAACGTTTGGTGATGTCAGAGCTGTGTTATGGGAAGTGGTGACTCATGAGAGGCTGATCACCAGTACTGATACTCTAGGCCGTTAATGTATCCAGGTTTTCCAGGATGCTGTTAGCCTGGGCTAACTTCTTACCTTCAGGTACCACTTGGATCAAGAGAAGCACACCTCCTCCCCAGAACAGCACTCCAGCGATGATGTATCTCCGAGGCAGGGTTCGGAGCAGCAGCCAGGCTGTGAAGTAGGCTGGAACTTCAATCAGGCCAGAGAGGAAGCAATTCAGGTAGACATCTCCATGTAAATTAGGAACATTGAGAGACAGAGCAAAGTAACCCACTGAGGTTAGCATCCTGAAAGACAGACAAATGATAAATCACAAACAAAGTGGCCCATGGCTCTCTAAACTTTTTTTTAATTTTTATTTATTTTATTTTATTTTTTATTATTTTTTATTAAAGATTTCTGTTTTCCCCACCTCCGCCTCCCCTTTCCATCCCCCTCCCCCAATCAAGTCCTCCCCCCCTCGTCAGTCCAAAGAGCAATCAGGGTTCTCTGCCCTGTGGGAAGTCCAAGGACCACCCTCCTCCATCCAGGTCTCGTAAGGTGAGCATCCAGACTGCCTAGGCTCCCACAAAGCCAATACGTGCAGTAGGCTCAAAAACCCATTGCCCATGTTCTTGAGGTCTCAGTAGTCCTCATTGTCCACTATGTTCAGTGGGCTCTCTAAACTTTTATGATGGTCATGAATTGGTCTAGGTCCTGCGTCCTCTAAGTAGGTGTTAGCCATGTTGGACTATTTGAATGGAAATACATTAAAGTGAGATTATAAGTTCAGTTTCTCAGTTGAAATGACACTTCACATGCTTAGTGGCTACATGAGCTGGTGGCTACTGTGATGGACAACACAGATTATAAATATTCCTGTCTCTGCAGAAAGTGCTGTAGAACAATGCTATTCTGCATAGACCACTGGTCAACAGTGCAGATGCCCCTGTGAGGACATCTGAGCATGACGGGAGAGCACACATCTCTGAAGAAAGCTTTCAGAATATGCTAGGTGTCTCTATTAGACCAGGTGGGGACATAGGACTGATCCAAAACAACATGAAAGAGTTAACTTTAGGGGGCTGGAGAGATGGCTCAGAGGTTAAGAGCACTGACTGTTCTTCCAAAGGTCCTGAGTTCAATTTCTAGCAACCATATGGTGGCTCACAACCATCAGTTATGGGGTCTGGTGCCCTCTTCTGGCCTTCAGACATACATGGAAGGAATTCTGTATACATAATAAATAAATAAATATTTAAAAAAAAAAGAAAAAGAAAGAGTTAACTTTACTGCTGCAGAGAACCAGTGCCTCTCACTGGTGCTCCTGGCGCCATTAGTCGGGATATACTGCATGAGTGATGTGTGTAGACAGCTAAGAGTGGAGAGACCTCACAGTGGCTGTGGCCCAGGATATTTCTTACTGATGTTTTTCTAATTGCAAAACAGCATTTTTCTAAAGTAGAGTCCCTGCCAATTCTGGTACTCAGCTGTGTGCGCGCATGTGTCTATACGTGAGTATGTGTGTGCCTGTGTCTATGTGTGTGTGTGCATGTGTCTGTCTGTATGTGTGTTGTTATCTCTGGGGCAGATAGGTTGTTATTACTTTTCCTTCCTTATTTCTTTGAAGATTTGTGACTAAATCTAGGTAACAAAGTCAGGTCATTACTCCTGTGCCTTATAATCACATGTTAATTTGCTACTGGGGAGGCAGGTGACACTAACTTCACCGTTCCAGTTCCAGAAAGCAGGTGGAGACTTAACACTTCTGCTTTGGTCCCCAGGGCCATCAGCAGCCTTAAGCCCATCACCTTCCATGGTGGGGCCCCAAACTGCAGACTTGTTGCTACCCATAGCTTTCCCAGTATTCGGTTCCATCAACCAATCCGAGACATGTCTAGCATTCCACAGCCCTCATTTTGCTGCGGGGGATGCCTAGGCTTTGTCACATTCCTTCCAACTAGAGCAAATCAGTTGCATACTTGGGTGTCACACATCTGCATTCCCAGAGCACCCATTGCTTACCACAGCATCACGGACATCACTGTTATTGTGGCAATATTCCGAGTCTTGAACAGGTCCAGAATGAAGACTTTCTGCTGCTTCAAGGAATTTAGCTCCTGTAGCTAAAATAACATAAATAAAACATGAAATAAAGAGGTAGGCAGGAAGTACCTATGGGGAAAACTTGGGCATAGAACTCTTTTTAAAAAAATTAATTTAAAAATATTATTATCATTATTACTGTTATTATTTTAAGATAGGGTCTCATGCATCTCAAGGCTGGCCTTTAACTCACTATGTAGATGAACATGATCTTGTTCGGATCCTCCTTCCTCCACCTCCCGGTGCTGGGATTACTGGCATGCATTACCATGCCAGTTTTGATACTGGGGATTGATGCCATTCGTGTGCTAGGTGAGCCCTCTACCATGGAACTACATCCTAGCCCACTCCTACAACTCTTATAGAACTTTTGATAGCTCTTTAAGTCCAGAAATTGAGTCCAGCAAGAACATCTTCAAGAGTGGTACTTATTCTAACTCTTTATTTACAACACAATTCTAAATTCAGGCTTTGACAATTTCATGCACGCCTCTAGTTGATTTTGATCACACTCCTCTCCCACTCCCTCTGGAATCTGTCTTCTTCCCAGCATGTTCTCCTCCTCCTTCATGCTACACCCATGAAGAAAACGACTTTTTCCCCTCCAGCAGCCATTACCGACCAATAACTCCTCAGCTAGAACCAGGGATGGATGTGATCCCCCACTTCCATGCTGGGATGTTGAAGGGTCGGGGCTTGCAGTAACCACAGCTGCTGCGAGTTCCTAGTGCAATGGCTATGCCATGTCCAAAAGCTAGCATTTCACATAATCTCTCCTCATCATCTGCTCTCGCTCTTCTGCCCATCTCCCATATTGTTTCCCGAGTTTCTAATGCTTTGACATGCTTGATGTAGCCAATTTTAGATAGAAGCCTTCAAAATAAATGACCTCAGCCTCACTGACGAGTGCTGACCAACTTTTCCTCCACTCAGCTTTAACATGTGAGTAGCCTTTATCACACTGAGCTGGGATCTGTGGAGTCTAGTGATTTGAGGGAGCCATGAAGTTCCAAAATGTCTAGGTGTCAGTGTGTGTGTGTGTGTGTGTGTGTCTGTGTGTGCGCGCGCGCACGCGCATGTATACATATGTAGGCCCAAGGCTGATGCTGAGAATCATCTTCCATCACTCTCCCAGCTCATTGCTGAGACCGGCTTTCTCAACCACACCTAGAATTTCTACCATGGCTAATTTTGTTGCCTGATAGTTGTAGGGATTCCACGTGCGGTGTTTTGAATGAGAATGCCCCCATAGGGTCATATATTTGAATACTTAGCTCCAGCTGGCAGGACTGTTTGGAAAGGATTAGGAGGTATGGCTTTGGTGGAACAGGTGCCACTGGGGGCAGATTTTAGGTTTTGAAAGGCACACTCCTCCTACTGTGCACTCTCTGCCTCCTAATTGTGGATCAGGATGTAAGCGCTCTGTTGTTCCTACCATCACGCCTTTGCTCTGCCATCAGAGGCTAAACCTCGGAAACCCAAGGTCAGTTAAATGACTTCAGTGGCTTGGGTCATGGTGTTTTGTCATGGCAATGGAAAAGTAACTAAGACACTCTGTCTCCACCTTCCAAGGCTGGAATTATAAGTGGGTCACCATGCCTACTAAACACTTGCATGGGTTCTGGGAATCTGAACCTGTGTCCTCATATTTATGTGGCAAGCACTTTTACTACTGAGCCATCTTTTCAGCCCTCATGGTGCTCTTTCTCTGTTGCAAGGTGTGGGTGATTTATATCCAGCAATATATAATAATATAGTTGTTAGCACAAAGGAAAGCTTAAACTCATGGGACCTGGACATCTTCATGCAGGGCTCTAGGGATCCCACATACATCACAGGACCCAAGGACCAGGCTGGATCAACACATCCCAGTTCCATAGGGCCTCTGTTGGAATGCAGACTGCCAGGTCCCCTCAGGCAAGATTCCTCTGAATCTTTCACTGGACTGGAGACCTGGGAACCTGTTTACTTAAAGCTTTCTTAGGTGACCATGATTAGTGACAAGGGCGCAAACACATCCGGACAAGAATATTATTGAATCCATGATTGTCCTTAGTCTGGGATGAGCCACCCAAATGTCTCTGGATAAGGTACATGAGTAGGTTGAAGGGGCTTCTTCCAAAGCCAGGGAAGCTTAAGGTTGCTCTTCAAGATGATGAGACTCTACATGGCTTCCAGTCCAAGTTAACAGCATAACCTCGACATAAACGGAAAACTGAAAACTGCCATTCATTAGAGCGTGCACTGGATCCCAGAGAAACCCCGGAAAACTACAGCTCAGTAGCAGTGTGATCTCTGGCAAGTCATTTCTCTGTGCTTTCATCTCCTTTCCTGAAAAATGAAGCTCATAGCTAGAGCCCTAGCAGTGGCTACCATGAGCATCACGTGAGTCAAGCAGACTGCTGTGTACCTCATGGTCTCTTCACCGGCTTTCTGAGAAGGCTTCACTGGCTGGTGCAGGCTGCTGCAGACCCTCCTACACAGGGTCCTAGCGGGTGGTGGGCAGGGGAGCTGTCAGGGCTAGGAAATCAAGGGATCCATTTCCCTTAGTGGGTGTGCCCAGTTCAAGACAGATGCACATCACAGCGGGCAGAAGAAAGGTCCCATCAGGGGTTTGCGTTTCTGGACTTCATTCTTCTTTTGTTCATGTCAATTTTATGATGTAGATATTATCTCCATAACCACATCATCACACTACATTTCTTGAAGATCGGAATGAAACTTTCCATCTGATAAACACTAATACACACATAGCCCTGAAAGGCAGAAGCATTATTTATGACAACGTCCTTTTTGTGTCTAAGTTTACTAGGGACTGGGATGAACTTGTGAATTCAAACACCAAAGATTAAGGATGCTTTGTCCAGGTAGCCCTCTGAGAGTCTGGGTTCATAGTCACTGAAGTGAAGATTCCAGCCATGGCCAAGGTAGCTGCTTCTGGAAAGGTTCCTGATAGCCAGGGATGGTTGAAGTCCTTGGGGTCTATCACTGACATGTCCACCATCCCCCACAGAGTCCTGCTTGCTGGTGAAGCCAGTAGAGCAAGTCCTAGCATACATCATGCGTAACACTGATGCGGCCACCAGGGTCTTGAGGTCCTCTTCCTCATCTGGCCAGCAGTACCCTGACCTCTCTGCTCATCTGTGTTAATCTTCAAGTGTGAACTTGCCTCTTCAGGCTTTGGCCACCCTGCTATCTTTCTTTGTATGGCTGCCATGTAGCGTCTGCTCCTTGGGGTTCTTAGCCTCTTTCCTCTCCCATCACTTCCCTTTGCATCAACTGCGCTTGCCTCCTTCAGTTTTGTGTGGGGGCTCTGTCTCAGCTTTCTCGTCTCCAGGAACCAGCCTAACCTGACACTCCAAAAGCCCTCACTGTCACAATACGGCTAAACCCCATGGCATATCAGCATTTCTGCACGGCTGCCTGCCTTCCAGGAGCGGAGCTTTGAGTCCATGCTCTCAGGCACCGAGGACGTGGACATGCCAGACACAACAACTGAAGACACGTACTGCTCTTCCAGCAGGCCTTGGTGTAATTCGGGATACAGCGGGAATCGAGTTGTACTTTTCCCAGGTATGGTGAGTATTTCAAAGCCATCAGCCTAAGAGGCCTGCTGTGGGTGCCATACAGCAAGTGTCCCTACCATGAGCAAACGGTGGGGAAATGTTTGGAGAGATGAGCAGAGTGGTCCACGTGCTGTGGAGAGAGGCGAAACTGAAGACGGGAAGACAGTGAAGGGCGGGCTGACGTGAATGCCTGTGTGACCACCCGAGACCATGTGATGGCTAGGCCCTTGCTGCCACCAAGGGACATGTCTGGGTCCGTGGCCCTCTGCAACCAGGGTCTGTGTTGATGTCTGTACCTGTGCTACCATCAGCTAGGATTGGGGTACATGATGTGACAGTCCCAAAGAACCAATAGATAGGTTATATGTTTTATGTTATATGTTTTATGTTATAAAAATCACCAGTATGTAACTTTGCAATGGGTTGGGCACAAATGCCAACACAAACTGGAAACTTGCAAAACGGAAAGATAGCCTGGTCAGCAAATGATGCTGACAAGCTGGATCTCCACCTGCAAACAATAAAATCAGTTTCCTATCTTTTACCTCTTCAAAAATCAAGTCAAAAAGGACAAAATGTCTTAATTTAAAACTGGAAATGCTAAAACTTCTAAAAAAAAAAAACCCTTAAATACTCTTCTAGATATTGGGGTAAGGAAGAACAGAGCCTTACCAGCAGAGGAGAATCCCCAAATACCAGCAGATAGGACAACGTGCAATTAAAAGTTTTCACACAGCAAACGATCATAGAGCAAGTATTTGATAGAATTGGGAGAAATTCTTTACCAGTGACAGTGCAGACAAGGGGTTAATATCCAGAATTCACAAGGAATCACACAAATTAGGTACTAAGGGAATAAAACTGCCAACTAACAACTGTGCTTATGAACTGAAACAAATGAAAACAAAACAAATGAAACACACAAGTTGGGCAGTGGTAGCACATGCCTTTAATCCCAGCACTCAGGAAGCAGAGGCAGGCAGATCTCTGTAAGTTTGAGGCCATCCTGGTCTACAGAGCAAGTTCCAGGACAGCCAGAGATACACAGAGAAATCTTGTCTCAAAAAAACAAAACAAACAAACAAAAAGAACAAAATACAACAAATGCCTAAAATTGTTTTTTAGTTTATAAATAATCCTTTAGGCATATTTTTAGTAAGAGAGGTAGCATCTTACTATGTTACTCAAGCTGACCCTAAGTGCCTAGATGTAAGAAGTCTCAGGCCTTCACCTCCTGAGAAGGCTGGACCACAGGTGTGCAGGACCATGCCTCCCAAGATTTTATCTGCGAATGTAACCACGATCACATCCCTGATACCCAGTGCAGTTCCTGGTGCCTTGTGAGCACTTAACAAATAGTGAGTTGCATTAAACTCCGTAAAAGAAAGACTGCAGAGCTGATCTCAAAAGGGCATCCACACACACGCGCGCTCACTCACCTCCAGAGGATCGAATATCACTGCCGGGGCCACGATGTTGTTCATCTTTGCGGCTTTCTGGATGATCTGTTCTGCCTCTTCAAATCTTCTCTGGGATATCAGCCACCGGGGAGATTCAGGAATAAACCTAGGATTCATTTGCAATGGTTCATAACCTTTTATAACCACAGGATTTGATGTTAGCAAACACACAGCAAAATGGTCTGGGGTCATTTTAGTGTTGCAAACATTCTAGTTTTAATCAGCACACAAATTCCATTTCTAGCATACGGCATGACATTTCAATGAATCTCTATCGGACCTCTGGGCAAGCTCGTGACAAGCTCTGGACTGTGTTAGCTGAGGTGGGAAGACACCTGACGCAGCTGGACTGAATAAAAGGAGAAAATGCGCTGAGCGCCAGCTCTCCATGCTCTCTGCTTCCTTTCTGTGGACACAGTGTGGCCAGCAGCCTCCAGTCCTTGCTCCCACGGCCTCCCTGCAGTGATGGGCTGTACCCCAACCCGTAAGCCCGGGAAAACCCTTCCTTCCTTGTCAGGCATTTTGTGACAGCAATAGGAAAAGTAACCAGTCTGGAGCTTCTCTCAGGCACAGAGTTGTGTGGAGTGTGGCCTGCCCTTCCTTACTGACCCTCAGCCTGGGTTCCATTGGAAACTTCCAGATAAATCAGCATAATATCTAACTCTTACAAAGCTGTTTTTCCAGGATTAGTAGATTAAGAGCATGGCTGCTCCTCTAGAAGACCAGGGTTCAATTCCTGGCCCCACATGGTCCCCAACAACTGTTGTGACTCCAGTTCCAGGGGATCTGAGGCCCTCTCCTGGCTGTCCCAGGCACTGCATCATATGGTGCACAGACAGACATGCAGACAAAACACCCATATGTATAAACATTTTAAAAATTAAGTGATCTTTCTCTCCTATTCTCTTGGGTAGGTATAATTAACATAGTAGAAATGGCAATCTTACCAAAAGTAATCTACAGATTCAACCCCTATCAAAATCTAATCAAAATTTATAGAACTTGAAAGAACAATACTCAACTTCCTATGGAAAAACAAAAGACCCAGAATAGCCGAAACAATCCAGTAAGACAAAAGAACTTCTGGAGGTATCACAGTCCCATACTTCAAACTCTACTATAGAGCTACAGTAATGAAAACAGTCTGATATTGGCATAAAGACAGACAGGAGGACCAATCGAATCGAATCAAAGACCTGGATATCAATCCACACACCTACAAACACTTGATTTTTGACAAAGGAGCTAAAAATATTAAATGGAAAAAAGAAAGCATATTCAACAAATGGTGTTGCCATAACTAGATATTAACATGTAGAAGAATAAAAATAGATCCACATCTGTCGCCATGCACAAAACTCAAGTCCAAATGGATCAAAGACCTTAACATAAAAACAACCACACTGAACCTTATAGAAGAGAAAGTGGGAAGTACACCTGAATGCATTGGCACAGGAGATCACTTCCTAAATATAACCCCAGTAGTCCAGGCACTGAGAGAAACAACAAATGGGACCTCCTGAAACTGGAAATCTTCTGTAAAGTAAAGGACATGGTCAACAAGACAAAACGGCAGTCTACAGAATGGGAAAAGATCTTCACCAACCCCACATCAGACAGAGGTCTGGTCTCCAAAATATACAAAGAACTCAAGAAATTGGTTATCAAAAGAAGAAATATCCAATAAAAAAATGGAGTACAGACCTAAACAGAGAACTCTCAACAGAAGAATCTAAAATGGCTGAAAGACACTTAAGGAAATGTTCAACATCCTTAGTCATCAGAGAAATGCAAATCAAAACAACTCTGAGATTCCATCTTACACCTGTAAGAATGACCAAGATCAAAAACACTGATGACCACTTATGCGGGAGAGGTTGTGGGGTAAGGGGATCACTCCTCCATTGCTGGTGGGAATGCAAACTGGTACAGCCACTTTGGAAATTAGTATTTCTCAGAAAATTGGGAAACAGTCTACCTCAAGACCCAGCAATACTGCTGTTGGGTATATACCCAAAAGACGCTCAATCATACCACAAAGACACATGCTCAACTATGTTCATAGCAGCATTGTTTGTCATAGCCAGAACATGGAAACCTTTGATGCCCCTCGACCAAAGAATGGTTAAAGAAAATGTGGTACATTTACACAATGGAGTGGTTAAAAAATAATGACATCATGCCGGGCGATGGTGGCGGACGCCTTTAATCCCAGCACTCAGGAGGCAGAGGCAGGCGGATCTCGGTGAGTTTGAGACCAGCCTGGTCTACAGAGCTAGTGCCAGAACAGGCTCCAAAGCCACAGAGAAACCCTGTCTCGAAAAAAAAAAATAATGACATCTTGAAATTTGCAGGCAAATGGATGGATCTATAAAACACATATTTCGTGAGATAACCCAGACCCAGAAAGACAAATATAATAGCACTCACTTATAAAGCAAAGAAAAACCGCCCACAGGCCACAGTCCCAGAGAACCTAGACAACAAAGAGGATCCTAAGAGAGACATACATGGATCTACATAGGAAGGTGAAAGACAGGATCTCCTGAGTAAATCTGGTCACAGGAGAGGATAGAATGGGAGAGGAGAGGAAGTGAGGGGAGTTGAGAAAAATATATAGCTTAATACAAACAATAAAAAAAAGAAAAAATTAAGTGATCTTTCAAACCCCAGTGAAATCATAAACAAAGCAAAGCAAATCAGGAAAGGTTTTTTTTTTTTTTTCAAATACTAATTCTACCTAAACCTTCATATGCTTCTCATTCTCAAATGTTACTGCTGTAAAACCACAGCAGGCTGGGGGATAAAAGGAAGTAGCCTGGAGGAGGCCACTTGAGCCATCCCCTCAGATAAGGCCAAGGGAGACGCTTGTCAACTCCTGTGGCTGCAAGACAGCTGCAGAAAGACAAAGGTCCTTCTAGGCAGTTTCCCAGGCAAGTGTCACAGGGTGGCCAAGAGAATCAAACTGTAGATGCCACAAACTGACCAAAAAAACCTTTATTACCTTAGCCATGTAAGCAGGTGGCAATTGAGCAGTTAGTAAAATAGGCCATTTCTAGAAGACCGGATTTTGACAGAACGCAGTAAAACCAAGATGAATTGGGAAAGAGGAAGCAAACAACAGCGCAAGCAGTCTCCTTCTGTCCTGTTTAAATAGGAGAGAGCAGAGAAATTCTGAATGGGGGCTGTGACTAGAACTTTACTTCTATTTGTAAAAATCTGTTCTTGCTGGGCAGTGGCGCACACCTTTAATCCCAGCACTCGGGTGGCAGAGGCAGGCAGATCTCTAAGCTAGAGCCTAGCCTGTTCTACAAAGCGAGTTCCAGGACAACTAGGGCTATACAAAGAAACCTCGTCTCTAAAAACAAAACCAAAAACAAACAAACAAGAAATTCGTTCTCTTCCAGAAGCTTCCAGTTACCCCCTACCTGGTAAGACTTAGTCGAGATCTCCAAACTTGGCTATTTCCACAACTGCTGTCCTAAAACCGGTTTGGGGAAGCCTTGGAGGGCATCAGCTCAGTGGCACACCACTTGCCCAGTATTCACAGGGCTCTAGGTTCAATCTCCATCTTAAAATGAATGTTTCCATGGGGGCAGAGTTGCCATAGGAGAAATAACACCTTTGCTAAGTCTGTTCTAACACAGCCGATTTGGGGAGCTGGGCACATAACTCAGGGAGAGCCTGCCTAGCAGGCATGAAGTTCAGGGCTCCATCTTCAGCGCTACATGAACTGTTTGTAGTGGCAAACACTTGTTAGCCTAGCACTTCGGAGGTAGAGGCAGAAGGAAAAAAGGCCACCCTTGGTTCATATTGAGGAGTCCAGGGCAAGCCTAGAATACAGGAAATTCTGCTGAAAAATAATTATCATTTTTAGGACAAAGCACATATATGTAACAAGTACACCTTAGATACTAATTTTGAAGAACAGTTGCATGCTCCTTGGTCGCTGTAGAACTGATCCCAGGATCCCTAACAGATCCCCAAATTCTCTCATGTTCTACCCTCTTACATCAAATGGCATAGCCAGGCACAGTGGTTTGTGTGCCTGTACACTAGCTACTCAGGAAGCTGAGGTGGGAGGACCACTTGGCCAGGAGCTCAACATAGCAGGGTCTCATCTAAAATAAATTGGGACTAGAGTGTAGCTCAGTGGAAGATGTTTGCTGGCATGTGCATGATCTTGAATTCCATCCCAGCACAGAAAAACAAAGCAACTTCAAATAAAATAGGTATAAGATTTGTATATAATCTATGCACATTTTGTATGCATATATCTCTGGATTACTTATAATATCCAACACAATGTGTATCACTCCATTTGTGAAGAGTTTGCTGGAGATAGGCCTTGGGTATTTTGCCTTTGAGCTACCCGCCATCAGCCTCTCAACACCTAATAAAATGCAAACACAGTATAAGAGTGGCTGGAGTGTATTGTTTGGGAAATAAGAAGAAAAACGGGGCACTATTTTCTGGTTCTGTTCTTTGCATCATGTACGTGGAGTTCATGGGTAACTGGGACCATCTGAACTGTGGCTGAATAGAGAAAGAGGATTTCTAAAGAAAGGGAAGGGGCCCAAAACCGAGGACAGAGTTTAAAACATTGCCCAACAGTACCAGCTCCACAGACAACAAGAAGATGGGCATGGGACTGGAGTGGGAGGCATCTGGAAGAAAGCTGGCATTCCCGAGAACCAGGCTTTATACAGTGCATGCGCCCACTCACAGAGATGCAGAGTGCTGGAGGTGTGGGGGCACCGGGGCAAGCTGCAGTACAGCGCATGCAGCTAGGTGGGCAGCTGACTTGGAAAGGTGGCTGTACTCACCACCACAGGGGGACACACAGCACCCCAGGAAGTGTCAGTGCCAGCAGCAGCATTCGCCAGTCTCGGATGAAGTACGCAAACAGAGGCAGCACCATGTAGCCGATTGCAAAAAATGTGCAGACTCCTAATGTGGAGAAGATAATTCGAACTGACTTGCTCAGAATTTCAGTTCCTGTTCAAAACAAGGGGGCAGAGTTAGCGTTTCCACTCTCTTTAGCGTTTGCTTTTTGAGATAGGGTTTCTTTCCATTACTCGGGATTGAACCCATGGACGCATGACAAGGGCCCTACCAATGAAACTCGAACACCTGCCTTCTGAGAATGCTGCATTTTCAGAGTAAGAGGCCAGTGGGAGACACAGACAGATGGTCCTGTCCAGGAGACAAGAAGTGGGTCTTTTGAGACACTGTGTGGAGTCAGGGTGTGGGACGCTTGTCCACAACTGCGAACAGACACTGGCTTGGAGACAACAGAGGCACTTCTGGCTGTCAGGACGCACTTCTGTTCTTGAACCCTTGGACGTGACACCCAGAAGCTAGCTGCCTCTGGATCTTCCCAGGGCTGGCGGTCAGCACTGGAGCCGATGCTCCCCGGGCAGACAGTGCTCACTGATGGGACGGCAGGGAAGGAGCTGGTCTGCTTTCCCTGCAGTGGCCGCCCGGCACTACACACACACCCAGTGACCAGTGCAAAGGCTCAAGGGCGCGTGCAGTTGGCAGTGCTGGGGAAGGATGTGTTGGCAGCTGGTTTCTGTCCCGTGCAGCAAGTACACAGCAGGTCACTAGCAGCGGGTCTTCAGAGATGGCCTTGTCGCTCGGGTTAGGATTCTAGCACACTAGAATTCTATCCACTCTGGGCCCTCTGACCTAAGGACAGAGATATGGCCAAGGGCAAGAGCTTGGCCTTTTGTGTAGGGCCTGCCCACACTAGTAATATTGATTGCCCAATTGAAAAATCTAGACTCACCCAGAAGACAAAACTTTATGAGCATGCTTGAATTTCTGGATTGGGTTAGCTGAGCTAGGAACACCCCTCCCAAATGTGGGCAGCACCACTGCATGGGACGTGGTCCTAGAAAAAGGGAGTCACACCCCTCTGTGGTTCCCTTCTGATCTTTCTTTCAGTTTCTTGAGAACGGTCAGGCTGACCTTGAACTTCATAGTCTCCTACTGGGTGTCTCCTAATTTCCACAGTTTTTTTTTTTTTTTCAGACCAGACTTCTAACCCCAGGGCCATCCCACTGCCTGCAGACTCTTTCCCTAGGGTGGTGTCTGGTTACTTTGACCTTCTTGAGTATCATTTCCAGATCTTTCCTTAATTTGTGAATGAACACATTCTACCATAGCCTGGATGTCTTTGGCTGGGATTATGATGTGATAATGAATGGGTATGTGGGGTGTGTGTGTGTGTGTGCGCGCGCGCGTGCGTGCGCGCGCGCGTGTGTTCTTCCTAAGCAGAAATCTAGAAGCAGAGAATCATGGGAAAGAAAAGCACAGAGGACTAAGTGAGACTCTGATTTGTGTGTGAGGTCAGTAGATAAAGGGTAGCATCGGGACAGGGTCGTAGAGCAGATGCTAACAGACACAGGGTGAGTTAGCTATGCTCCAGGTAGCAGGTAAGGACAGAGATCTGCCAGCCTGTGGATCAAGGTGGATGGTACAAACAACTCCTTACTAGTCCTAATGCTCTATACCTTTTGGGGTCTCTCCCACCCTTATACATTGCTGTCATTTGAGTGAGAAATGTTCCCCATAGGATAGACTCTAGCCCCTCCAGAACTGTAAGCTGAGCCAAACCCTTTCTTCCCTCAGTTGCTTTCTGTCAGGTTGTGAGATCACCGCTGCAGAACAGTAACCAAGACATACAGGATCACTACCATCATCAGTCATTATCACATTATTACCACCATCATCAGCGTCATTATCACCACCACCATCATTATCATTACCATCGTTGTCACCATTGTCACCACCATCATCTTCAGAGCCATCGCTTTTCTGAGCACTTCTTTAAGCCCCATTCCAGGCTAACTGCTTACATAATGATCTCTCTGACTCTGGCCCTGCAAATATCCAGCTGAGGCATAAGGAGTTAAAGCCACTTGTCTACATTCGTGTATCTGTGACAGTGATGCAAACTGGATGTGACACCTCACACTTAAGATCCCAGCGCTCAGGAAATATAAGGGGGATGGCTCAGGAGTTCTTTGGCTGCATACACTGAGTTCAATGCCAGCTTGAGCTACATGAAACCATGTCTCAAAGACAAACAAAAAACCAACCCCACAAACAAATGGGTTGGGGGCTCTGTGGGTAAAGTGGTGGTCAGTCAATCATAAGGACCTGAGTTCAAATCCCCAGAGCCCATATGAAAACCAGACATGGTAGCACACGTCTGTAACTCTAGCACTTGGGGATGGGAACAGGAAGATCCTGAGAGCTTCCTGACCAGTTGGCGTAGCTGAAATGGGTAACTACCAGATTTAGTGAGAGAGTATAGCGGAGGACATATGACTTTAACTTCTGGTTTCCACACATGCACACACAGGGGTACCACACATACACATATATACACATGAACATCACACATGCATGTATACAAATGAATAAAATCCAAACAAATAAAAATCCCTAAATTCATAGCAAACAAATGAACTACAATGATGTAGTGATGTTGACGATATTTATCAACCTACATATGTCAAGCCTTCAGGAGGAAAACTGACTGCTCAAACCCATGGTCTTATGGACCAGTCCTTCAGCTGGGATGCTAGTGGAGACACGGGGGAGATGAATGAGACCATGGATGTCGTTCATGGTCTGATCATTAAACTGGCTAATAACCAAGCAGTTCTCTCTAGGGAACATCAGGAGAGAGCCTCAAGTAGGCAGATGTAATAAACTCTCTGTGTGCTCACCCAGAATAAAGACCTGTGGCAGAAATGATTTCCAGCACTGCTCATCAGATCCCCGTCCTCCTACTCTGCCCCCTCCCCATAGACTCATGATTCTAGGCAAAGCCTGGCTTCTCAGTGTCTCTCAAGAGCAGAAACCTTACATCCAAATCAAAGGATGTGTCCTGGCTCTGCTGAGACCATGCCCAGCCCTAGGAGATTGTGCCCACTCAGTGGCTCCTCCACCCAGGAGGATTTTACATCATATCGTTGTCAGTCAGCTCCAGGAACCACTAGGCACATGTCACGAGGAGGCAGCAGGACATGCACCTCAGTGCATCTGAGGCCTGCAGCCGATCCAAGCTCAGGAAACAAGCCTGGGAAATGTGCACCTGCTAGGATGGGCTGAGAGGGTGCGCCCTATGCCACAATGTGGGGAGGGTGTGGGTTCCTCTATGCTAAGTCCCCTAGTGATGGTTAAAATATTGCTTGTCAACATGATGGGCTCTAGGATCACCTAGGCGACAAGTCTCTGTGTATAACTGTGAGGGTGTTAACTGAAATTGGGTTAACTGAGGAGGAAAGATCCACTCTAAACGTGGATGGTGTCAGGTATGGGATAGGATGCACAGCTGGAGAGAGAGAGAGAGAGAGGCACTGGACACAGGTGTTCATCTTTCTCTGCTTCCTGACGAATGACACAATGTGACCAGGGGCCTCATGCCATGCTGTCATGATGCAGAAAATAAAATTTTGGTTTTTGAGCTAAGCCAGTCTGGTATTTGGCTACGTCATCCATTCAAATAACAAGTCAAAGTTACATTTCAAGTTAAAAGCATTTAAGGACTGGTGTGTACATCAAATATACAGTGTATTCAGGAGACCCGTGGCTTGATCCTCAGTATCACAAAGATAAATACATTAACGGGTAAGTGAAAATAATAAAAATAAATACAAGGCTGATAAAAGTTACATAACTGGCATAATCCAATTTCAAAGAAATCTGAGTTTCCTCTGAGTCAAAGCTGTAGAAGCTGCCATCAGTTGTACCCTTGCTGAGGGGAAACATATGGATCAGAGGAGGCAAGCTTTAAGCATGTCTAAAGAACTGTCCTAGCATGGGATAGCAGGGGTTGGGGGTGGGGTAGTGGTTGGGTGTTGGTGTTAGAAGCACTTGAAAATACTGATGAATCAGTCGAGACAGGAGGTGGCTAGGTTTTCCTGTAGAAAACAGAGAAGCAGTTCTTTATAGACGATGAAGGAAGGTGCTGCTGCCATTTTACCCAGAAGTCTGTGGGCAGGTTATGGTGCTGTGCCTGAGAATGACATGGAGTCTGGGGGGAAGCTGGGGTGCGGGAGGTCATTGACCCTGATCTTGAGTCCCACTTCCTCCGCATTCTGTGTTGCTTTGGAGAGTTTGGCTGGCCTTTTGTACAACCTAAGACTCTGGCAAGCCTGGGGAGAGTGAAGTGCAGCCCAGAAGGAGACTCCGTACAGCTTTGGGAAGAATTCAGCTTCTGCAATCAGTGCAAAGATTGATTTCCAAGCTGAACTTTTACCATCCCAAGCATCTAGATTCTTTCCCAGAGCATGGAGGATAAAGTGCAGGCACAGACAGAATTTCTTAAATGAAAATCTGTTGGGGTCAAATCTGGCTTCTTGGAAAAACCCCAACAAATGCCCTTGGAATGTAGCAATTTTAGTCCTGAAACACCAGAGGGCGCTGCAGCACTGCAGGAAAACCAGCAGCCACGGAGTCTGTCCTTCCACCAAGTTCTCCCTTTCAGGAACTGACTGGGAACTCGGCCTGTTTTGAGACAGATCAGTTTTCAGTGACACTCACAGGCTTTCAGACCTGAGGCCTTAGTACAAATGTTATCCCAGGACCTACTTACTGTTAGCAGTTTCCTGTAGGGCCCGCTAGGATGAGGGGTGTGGACCCAAGTCGACAGGGAGCCCTCTATTGGTTGCTGATTTGACACACCTCAGCTCCAACCTACCCTTGACCTGGCCCTCTCCTCCTTCTCTATCCTGCACGTGAGACCATGGCCAAGTGGGTAGCGGGACGGCCAGAGCTGTGGCACTGCCCTATTCTCACAGAAAAGGCTCTCAGAGCAGGAGCCCCTGTTTGTCTGGAGGAGCAGGTCTTGTTCTGTGAGTCTTGAACAGCTGGGGTTGGGGTCCTGGGAGGCTGAGCCAATGGATAAAGTCCTTGCCATGCAAAAATAAGAAAGTGAGTTCAAATCCCTAGGACCCACCTAAAAGAGCCGAGCACTGAAACATGCTTGAAATCTCAGCGCAGGTGAGGCAGAGACGGGAGGATCCCTGGGGTGGGCTGGCCAGCCCGTTTAGCCTGAGAGCTCCAGGCTCAGTGTAAGGTCTTATGTCCAAAGATAAGGTGAATGGTCAGCTGGTTGTCTCATGACAGTCTGAGGTGAAGCCAAGGGACCCACATGAAGAAGGGAGAGAATGAACCCCATCAAGCTGTTCTCTGCCCTTCACGCATGAGCTAACCCCTTCCATACGCAAAATTCTTACATTAAGAAATAGACGGAGAGCAATTGTGAAAGACTCTTGGTGTGTCCCTCAGCCTCCCATCTGCCCACACTCCTATGTTCACACTTCTGTGCACACACATACACACACACACACACACACACACACTAAATAAGCCAGGTACATCAGAAGGGTGACTGCTTTGCATAGACCCCTTCTCGATCCCAGCCTGGGCTGCTCTGGATTCGTCCTTCTACCCAGAGCGGCCTTCAGGTCTCCCCCAGGGCCACACCAGTCACTGTTGGCAGCTCTTCCATCAGCACCAACTTCTCTGCTCTCTACAGAAGGGCAATTTTTCTTAATGGTGAGTTTTGTTTTGCTTTTATGAGCTATGGTCTTGCTACATGGCCCACGCTGTCCTAAAACATAGCCTTCACCTATCTCTGCTTCCTGATAACATGTGTGCGGCCTCACAGATGACCTCGGAAAAATTCCTGTTCCACCCCTGGTCCCGGCAGAGAACAGCTCTCCTCATGCCAGGGCTTGCTCAATAGAGGGCCACCTGCTGGGAACATGTGGTTCCTGCCTGCTCTGCCTCCTCGTGTGTCCTCCCTCCTCAGACATGAGGCTGGGCCTGTGGCAAGAAGCCCTTCATCAATAATTAAAGGAATGGAATTTGGACAATTCCACCTTGGCAGCCTGACAGAGGGTGTGCGTGTCTTTGGCTAATAGAACACACCATTGCCAAGGCCAGTGAGTCACAGGTTCCCGAGAGCAATCAGAGCACATAGCCAGGTGCAAGAAAGGCACTAGTGCTATTGAAGAGACACAATCAATATTGTGCTGGGACAATAGGGACAAACTGGGGTAATTTGGGGTCAGCTAGCATGGTTGTTCTAAAGAGTGTAGGACTTGATGTTCATCGCACTTGGGGTGACTCTCATTTCCTCTCATCCTGACGGGGGGAATCAGAGAGCATATTGGTGGTGGGGCTCACACTTGTGAGAACAGCCCTGAATGGTTTCCATGAAGCTCACCTCACTTTTCCCCAGAACCTCCCTAGGGCCTAGAAACTGATGGCTTGCCCGCCCTCTCAGCCTGGTCTTCCCTCCGACAGAACGGTTATCAGAGAGGTGCAGCCGTCCTGTGCAACGCTCATCTGCTCAGGGCATGAACTCAGATCTAGGCCACAGCATATCTGCCCAGGCGGGACAAATTCTTGACCCCGAGCAAGTGACTCTCCCACTGCATATACGCCTTATCAACCCCCCTAAGTCCCTTCGTAGGCCACCAGCCTTATGCCTTTATATCCCAGATCAAGGACTTCACATCCTTGCTGTCTCCCCCACCCCAGAATCTCCTGTTCCAAGCCCCTTGCTCCTGAGGATGTGTCTACTGTTGTGTGGCTACTTCTTCCCAGCTCCAGCTCTTGGTTTTAGTCCAGTACAGATGGCCCCCTCTGAGCCCCTGCCAGGCTGTGACTGGCTTGAGGTGCCCATAGCTGCAGCCCCCCCTTAGATATACACATGTATCTAAAGTTGAGGACACTTTGGACTCACACTCAGTAGCTCCCTCATGCCCAGAACTTCACAGGGTGGAAAGAAGGGACACCAAGTCTCGGAAGTCATTCCTACCTAGTATGAAGGCCACCACGTAGTTGGAGATCTGGCCCATGCCCACAATGATGAATAACACAGTGAACATCTCCCAGCTGGTGGAGAAAATCTGCACGAAGCTGAATCCAGTCTGCACAGCCATGGTCGCAAAGAGGACTTTCTTCCTGCCAAACCTATAGAACACAACACAACAGGGTAACTCAGGGTGTGTTGTAACACCAAGCCTAGCTTCACCGTAAGGTCTGTCTTGTCTCAAGACTGAGCTATTTTCTCTTCCCTTTGACATCCTGTTAGCCTCCTCCCTGGAGAGGCCTCCAGCATCTGCCTGCCCGAGAACTACCTTCCAGGGTGCCAAGTCTGGCTTCTGGAAGAAACGGGCATCTTCTGTGATGACCACATGGACAAATCTGATCTTTAGAAGGAGGCATGGGAGGGCTAGGGGTCTGACTCAGTGGATAGGGTGCGTGCTTAGCTGAATGAAGCTCTGGCTTTGGTCCCCAGAATGGTGCATAAGCTGTAATTCCAGCGCCTGAGAGGTTGAGCAGGAGGATCAGAAGCCCAAGGCCACCATTGACTACACTGTGGTTTTGAGGCCATCCTTGACCATCCTGGGCCTGTCTTAAAAAAAAGAAAGAAAAAGAAGGAAAGAAAGAAAGAAATAAAGAGAGAGAGAAAGAGGCAGCACTGGTAGAAACTGCCACACCATTTGTGGGAAGTGGGTAAGATTGCAGATACTTTTATCATCCCCACGGGAATTCTGTGTGTTTAGAAACCCCCTCAGGGGCTGCTGCTTCTTAACCTTGGCTGCACTTGGAACCACCCAGCGAGCTTGAAAAATGACAATCCTTGATTCACAGTGGTTCAACCTAGGACTTCATGATTTTGCAATGGTGGGAAGTGCTCTGCATTTACTTAGAATCCCTGCTTGGAATCCTGTACTCATATTTCCCCCACTCTCCCTGCTGGACAGGGATGTGGCCTGGGGGCCTCTCTCTCCGTGCTGAGCAGCGACAGTGAGCTACACTCCTGACAGACATCTGGCTGTTTGCCGAGCTAGCATGTCATATTAGGCGTGTGAAGAGTTTTTTTTTTTTTCTGATCTAATCTCTTCGGTTTAGGGTGGGTTTATTAGGACAGGGCTTACAGAAAGTCAAAGAGCACCCACACTCATGCCAGCACCTGACGTCTTCCAAATATTATTTGTCTGCAAGGCAGTTTGAGCCTTGGGGTGTTATGCAGTTGCCCAGGTATGTCGATGTGTCTCTACAGCTGTAAACCTTTGCTTTCTGGGACGATGTCATTCTCAGCCATGTCTGCTGTGTCACTGGTTGGTTTAAGCTTTAATGTTTTATTCCGGTAGTGACCAGTGGGCAGGGTGGAGCATCCCTGCCCCATTCCCTCTGGGCCTTAGAGCTGGTGGTGGGGGGCAGATTCCCAGGAAGCGCTGTCCAGCACCGCTATTAAACACTCCCACCAGCTGTGGCCACAAGAGAACATATAGGGCAAGCAGGACACAACTCAGGATAATGCAATCTTGTCCCTGTGAAGCCTGCAGGCTCTGGTGACCAAAAGCTAGCCTGGGTCAGTTCTATGGCTACAGGCCCAGCCATGGCTCCGTTCCCAGCCCCAGAGAGTGCCTATCTGACAGGACTTGGCTTTACTCTAGCTGCTGGCTGTTTGTGCAGCAGTGACATGTCACCTACCCCTGCCCTGTTAAGAGCTGGGGGCAGAGTCAGGGGCAGTGATAATACCAGCATCCTGTTCTGCAAAGGGGCTTGTGGCACAAGGGCCCTGCTTTCTGTTGGGGTCGACACTTTGATCAAAGATGGTCAAAGCCCTGTGAGTTCAGATTGGGAGTGTGACAGAAGTCTCGGCAGGGAGCGGGGGTGAGGGTTACGTGTTAGTACCATCTGTGAAAGACTTATTTATTTACTTAGCCAGTTTGTAGTAGTTAGATAGGGCAGGTCTTGTTATGTAGGGGTGCTACAGTCAAGGTTGCACACTAGGTTTATCTGGGAAAGATTTACTTAGTTAGTTAGACAGAGTCTTGATATAGAGTTCAGGTTGACATTAAACTTTTAATCCTCTCCTGAGACCCCAGCCTCCCAAATGCTAGGCTTCTCCTGTTATCCACTCGGTGCCTCGAGGATCCTTGTCTGTGTAAAAAGCCCATGAATTTGGCCTTGCATCAAGACAGCCTGTGGGACTGATAAGTAGCTCCACCTCATTGTTCCCCATCCAGAGTCCTTACCTGTCTGACAGCTGCCCAGACACGAAGGAACCGCAGAGAACGCCTACGAAGAACAGGGAGGTGGTGAGGGGTGTCTTCCAGTCATCCTCACACACCAGATTCCACTGCCAACAAGACAGCATGCAACGTGAGCCCAGTCCTCCAGCAGGACCCACCCGTGCCCCGCTCCAAGGAGCGCCAGATGGATGCCAGGTGCACTGTCCTCCCTTGCGCCAGCCTGCTGGCTCTGTGCAAAGAGCACAGGCCTCGTAGCTCTGGGTGTGACTCTGCCATTCGGTGTGACAAGAAGCCCGGGGGCACGCTACTGCCTCCCATTGAGACACAGCTTCCTCTTTGGGAGGGAGGAGAGGGCTTCAACCTGCTCGCATTATCTATAAGGAGGTTGGCAAGCCCGCAACCACAAAGCAGTATGAAGCGAAGAGATCCTCATTCCTCTACTTCACAGAAGACAGCACAGAAGAGAGAGGTTTGAAAGGCCAGAAGAGAAGGGCAGAGGGCACAGCTAGCTGGTCCAGGAGTAAAACGTCATCTTTGTTGAAGAGTGAAAATAGCCTCAGTGCTGTGAGGTGTTTAAGCATTTCTCTGAGAAGTCTTGGTTCCCTGGTCCCCTCAAACCTAGATGGAACATCTAACCCACTCCAGGGGCCACTGTGCCAGCACGCCCCACCCTTTCCAAGGGGTGTCTGAGCCTCCTTCCTCCACTCCTCTACCCTCCCTCCCACCCAGCCTTCCCAGCAGTGTGGTTCCTCCCAGTCCCCAGGCCTTGTGGACTGCTATACACTAACAAGCTCCTGCTGGTGGATCCATAAAACCAGTTTCAGCCAGAGTTTCTCTTCCCAGATTTCCCCTGGAGTCAGCTCAGCCCAGTCTCAAGGGAGGCTGCAGAGATTTCAAAGTGTGCTTGGTGACCTCTGCTCATATATTTTGGCCTGGAGGTGTGTATGGGAGCAGTGTGTCACAAGATGGGCTAGCAGAGGAGAGGGACCCTCCAGCCCACCCCTTGCCCCACTGTGTGGGCATCCTACAGCTGTGGCATTTGTGGAGCGGTTCTGTTCTTAGTCCCCACGGCTGCCCTCAAAGTGCAGTTGATTTAAAATAATTCCTGCATACGCATTATTCCATACTGCATTCTGTAGTTCTGTAGTGCGGGAGCGGGGGTTAGAAACACTGAGAAATGGAAGGCATAAACCGAAAAGCTAAGGCGATCAAGGCGAACAAAGTCAGGGAGGCGATAAAAACTCAAGCCAGGAGTCACAGCAGACTGTATGCCCAAGGGTCTGCCTGTGGCAATGGCTTCCGCTAGCCCAGCCGCTCAGCTTAGAAGGGCCTGGTGACCCTGGTGACCCTCTTGGTCATGCCTTCTGCAGAGCACCAGCCTGCCTAGGTCCCGAGACCTAAGGCCTCCCCTATAGACTTCCTCCCATCAAGGCCACTCCAGCTCATGATGCTGGTAGGATGCCCAAGCATGGCTCTGCAGAAGGACGTGGACCAGGAACTCAGCTCCCTCGCCTTCAGAAGCAACCCAAGGATCAGTCTGAGATTGTCAATCACTTATCCAGACTGATACCTCACTTGGTGCTATGGTGTGACTGTTCCCACTGAAACTTTAATCCCTATTGTGAGGTGTTAAGGAAGTAAACATAATTAATTCAATGATGGTGTTTGGAGATAGGAATTTTGGGTGGTGATTTAAAAAAATGAGGTAATCAGGGTGGGGCCTAATCCAAAGGGAACGGCAGCTTTGTTAGAGGACAGATATAAATGAGTTTTATGTCATCTTGCACTGATGCCCTGTGCAGGAAGGCCTGCACTAGACATAGCCCCTGGCCTTGAACTTCTCAGCACTCATAACCTTGACTTGAGCCGGCCTTTATTCTATTGTGTGTGTTGGTATATGTGTATGGTTTTATATGTGTGTGTTACGCACATGTGAGTGTGCATCCACACTTTTAGAGGGTAGAAGATGTCAGGCGTCTTTTCTATCACATCCTGTCTTATATCCTTGAAATAGAGCCTCTCACTCTCACAGAACTGGAAGCTCCCAATTTAGACTAGGCTAGCTGGCCGGTGTGCTCCCAGCATCTACCTGTCTCCAACCTCTAATGCCGGGGTCACAGGTGTGTGCAGCCATGCCTGACTTTTTTACACGAGTCCTAGGGATTCACACTCAGGTGTGTGAGCAGCCACACAGCAAGTGCTCTTACTCACTGAGCCATCTTGCCAGCCCAAGTCTTCTTTCTTTATAAATCACCAAGAAATGGGACCAGCAAGATGACTCAGGGGTTAAGGTGCTTGCTGAGTAAGCTCGGCTACCTGAGTTCAATTCCTGGAGCCCATGTGAGGGTGGAAGGAGAGGACCAGCTTCAGAAAGCTGTCCTCTGACCTCCACACACATGCTGTGGTACATGCACCCATGCCTAACCCCCCCCCCATTACCCACCCATCCACATTAATGTTAAATAAAGCTAAAGAGGACATTATTCAGAAATGAAAATGGACCTGAGGTCCCTGAATTGGCTCCGAGAGACAGGACAGGCAATCAGCTCTCTGCTGCCGTCCAGCCAGGTTCCTAGGCTTGTTCATCCTACAGACCAGAAGGAGTAGGCAAGGTGTGCCTGAGCGAGTGTCTACCTTCCTCCCAAAAAGCTGGCCAAGGCTAGGAAAACGGCTTGAGATTGAACCCTGACACACAGAGACATCCAAAAGTCAGTGCGTCTCCAAAGGCAGGGCAAAGAGGAGCTCCCACTCTTCTTCCAGGAATATGACACCAGACGATAATTGCTTAGGACTTGGGGTAGAAGGCCTCCGTCACCACATTCAGCCTTGCACGGAATGCAACAAATCTTATGCCAGCAGCGGTTTTACCATGCCAACCATTAACCGTCACTATTCAGCTGCATCTGGGCAGCAAAGAGCTTCATAGAATGTTCTCTGCTTTGTGGTTTAAAACAAAAACTGTTTCACTGTCAGGAATTTGAACTAGAGAAGCAAAGAAAGGACTTAGTGTTTGGCATGGGGGTGCACGCCTTTAATTCCAGCCCTTGGGAGGTAGAGGCAAGTGGGTCTCTGAGTTCAAGGCCAGCCTGGTCTACATAGGGAGTTTCAGGACAGCCAGGGCTACACAGAGAAACCTTGAGACACTAAAGATAAATAAATAAATAGATGGACTTAGCGACAGGGAGGAAAGAGAGAGGCTTATGGAGATAGAGCCAGACCCAGTATGAGCAAAAACAAGAGGCAGGAATTCTACCTAATGCAAACTGAACTTGCTGGATTCCTGGTTCAAAAGTGGCAAGGACAAAATTTAGGTGGCCTCCACTTCTTCTCTCTCCTTCCCTCTTCTTTTCTTTCAGCGTGTGTGTGCACGCTTGTGAGCATGTGCATACACATGAGCACACACACCTGTCAGAGGTCAACATCGATTATCACATCTCAGGTGCTATCCACCTTATTTTTTGAGGCAGGGTCTCACTAATTAGGCAAGGCCAGTTGGGTAGGAAACCCCTGGAGTTTATTCTGTCTACCTTCCCCGGTGCTGGGATAACAAATGTAGTCTATAACACTGAACTTTTTCACACGGCCAATAGCTTAGTCTTGTTACTAACTAGCTTTTACAACTAAAGTTAACCAACTTCTATCAATCTATGTGTTGCCACATGACTTGTGGCTTTTACCTGTCCTCTAGTATTTCTTGTTCCCTGTGTGCCTGCTGGTGACTCTGCCCATCTTCCAAGAGTTCTCTGTGTGACTCTCCTACCTATGTCTCCTGCCTAGCTAATGGCCATTTAGCTTTTTATTAACCCACTCAGAAGGTACCTTGGCGAAGACACATCATCACGAAAAGATTATTCCACAGCACTATACAGCAAGTCCTGGTCTCAACAACAACAACAAAAGTTTGGAAAAGAGGGGGGAAAAAGGATTTCATAGCACCCAAAGCAGAACATTGTGATCAAGTGTACAGGCTCTGTGTGACTGCATAGGTTGCCTATCATGAGGTAGCCTGTTGGGAATGGTAATCAAACTTGTTTTCTTTGGACCAAAGCATGGGTGCTGGGAGTAGGGGTAGAAATGGATCAGTTCCCTGCAACTCTCTTTCCTGGAAACCATGGAATCAAGATGAGAATGCCCTACTGAGAAAAGGGACCAAGCCACGTGACTAAACATAGACAAGAACTCTGGGTTAATTTAAGTTGTAAAACCTAGTTAATAATAAGACTGAGCTAAAAGGCCAAACAGTTTATAATTAATATAAGCTTCTGTGTGTTTCTTTAGGACTGAATAACTGCTTAACCAGGCTGGGAAAAAAACTTCCATCTACAAATGGCACCCAAACATTTGGCAAGAATTTCCACATAAAGCCTGAAAAAGTTTTAAAAAAAATTCTAGATAGACAAGAACAGAGTCAAGTGCAGTCTTGGTAACTGTCTTCTCTCTGGTAGGCTCTGTTTGCTGGCAGCAAACAGAGGTTGTGGCTCCTTTAAGAGAGGCTTTCTGACTCAGCATTAGTGGTAAAAACTTTGCAGCTCTTTAAGAGGCTCTGCCACCCAACACTTAAATGGTGTTTATGAGCAACCAGCATCAGGCTTCTTGGTGGTGGCTTGGACACAGAAACTCAACAGAGCTGTGGCAATAAATCTGGCTCCTGCCAGTACCCCCATCATGAAGCTAGACTCTCACATAGCTAAAGAATTGGAAGGAGCCAGCTGCTAAAGCCTCAGCTTTAATCCTAGCCATGCAGTTTAGCAGATTAAAGACTCATGTGGTCAGAAAAAGATAGAGATATATAGTAAAGACAAATTCAGGGAAAAACCCTCTAGGGTTTACAGTGTGTTTAAAAAATATAGGCTTGGGATAGAAAGGAAAAAGGATAGAGAAAGTCCGTAAAACAAGTAATAGAGTAGTCAGGCATGGCAGTGCATGCCTTTAATCTCAGCACTTGGGAGGCAGAGGCAGGTGGATCTCTGTGAATTCTAGGCCAGTCTCATCTACAGAGTGAGTTCCAGGACAGCCAAAGATACACAGAGAAACCCTGACTCAAAAAAACCAAGATTTAAAAGTAAAAATAAAACAAATAGAGTAAAAAATAAAAGCCATGTAAAGA